GATAAGATGCCTACAGGATTGGTGCTGTTCCAGCTTCTCCTCCATTAACGATTACCAAAGAAAGAAAGAGTGAGATGGAGAATATAACAGCAAGTGAACTTGCTGGTTTTGGGGTCGCTGTCTTGCTGCTTGGTGCCACAATCACTGCTCCTAAAGTTGATGCTTTCATCTCTGCTTCACAGAGGAGGTACACTTCTCAACCTTTTACTCCTTCTCTTCCTTGGCTATATGTAGTTTTAAGTTTTAAAAAAAAAAAATTGTTATGATGATGAACTTGCAAGAATTTTTGTTCATGGGTATGAGTGAATTTTGGTGTTTGGTAGTTAACTGGTTCTTAGTTTTGCAGTGACTCTTAAGACTTAATTTGTTATCTCTCTTGAATTCTGATTTTGTCACTCAGATTGCTGGGGTATTACCTGGGTCCTCTGTTGCAAAATTTCAACTTAGAAAAGCCAGAACTTTGTATGTTTGTGGTTTTTAGTCAAACCGAGTTGGGTACATTCTGTTGTTGTGTCATGACTCTTGTTTTGTTCAATGGATTTTGCCAATTTCTTGATTGTTATGTGGGAAAAAAAGTAATGTGCTGATGTGGTGGGAATATGAATCAAGATTGATTTCGGAGTTCTGCTGACTCTCTTTAAACTCAATTTGATGTGATGTCTCATTTTGTAGGATGATTTTTCCTGGATAAAAATGGTTGTGTATAACTGTTGATCATGCAATTTTAATGGAAATCACTGTCATATTTGATGTTAAACTAGGATTAGTCCCCAGAACTATTAGGGTTTTAACCAAGCACTTTATGAAAGCTATGCTTTCTTTCCTCTTGGTGGGTTATGGGTATGTATAAAGGCTTTAAAAAACCTGAGATGAATGCTAACAATAATGAACCAAGCACTAGGTTATCTGTTGTTAATGGAATACTTGCATTATTGTGTTCGGATAGGTGAGATTTCTCAATCATATGGCATGGTTGCCAACCAGTTGTTTGAACTGTCATTATTTATGTGCTTTGATGTGTTATTATGGGATGGTATCATTTTGATCCATCCTTAGTAATTGATATATATCCTTACGTGCCACACTTCTTGAATATGCAGTGCACTTGGTATGTGCAAGAGGTGTGGTGATCTGAAGGTGACAGCCTGCCCAAAATGTAAAGGGACTGGGTTAATCAGAACACAGGATCCATTCAGTTTTAACCTTATGGAGGACATAAATCAATACTTTGGGAGTCCCCAGTCAAAGGCTAATTCCACACCATGTACAAAGTGTCAAGCTAGAGGTCACTTCTCCTGTCCTGATTGCTCTAAAATATCCAAAGTTTGATTCCCTATGTGCGATGTGAAAATGTATCTTCTCTTTTGCTTGGACTTCATTAATTAAAAATTTTCTTCATCAACTTGGTATGTCAAAAACAGTTGTATACAGACATTTGTAATGGCAGCTTGTACCCAAACCTTTTTCTTTTATCTATGGCAATTATTTAATATGTCCCAGCAATTCTGGTTGTTTAAGGCTAATGCCAAAAGCAGCCACCTTGTCATGTGGCATTTGGGTTCTGGGCCCTGTAATTGTGCTTTTCTCTCTATTCTATTCTACAAATGCTGTAAATTGATAATATATTTCTTGCTATAGAGATCTCCATGGAAGATGCCTCAAAATTCTGCATTCTTCATTCAAAGTTTGATCATCTAAGAACAGGTTTTGACTAGATATGAATGCAGCTCTTCACTGAAAATCGCTCCTTGGGAAACATACTTATTATGATAACAGTGCTAGCGTCTTCTTTACAAATGAAGAAGTCATTATTGCATGATTTCCAGAATATTCTAGTAACTGATATGCTTTCTTCTCCAACTTGCTTCATTTTGAATCCAATCCAAATGCCCTGCATTATATGTTTCAGGTATGAAGTTCGTTTAGTCAGTGACTTTTTTTTCTCCTTTATATGTTGAAAACTGGATAGTACAGCTTACGTAATCATTTATTGTCACTCACCCACTATACATCTCCTTCATTTAGAGCTGCTGAATTAGCCTTCCATATGTGTGATTGACTTGATATGCTCAACTGTCTACCATGGCTGTGCCATCACAATGCTTTAACCATTTTAGGTAGGTTTTGCTTTAATTTTCTTCCCAAAAGTAACAAGACATTACCAAGGTGAATGGACTGGGCACCTATGTATCTCATTATACTGCAGTCTGCGTGTTAGGAGCAATCATAGCAAGGCTATGGCCACATTTGACTAAGTCCACCAAGGTCTATAACATGTTCAAGTTTGAGTGGGTTCGCATTTGTGCCACCATGTGAGGAATGGTCACCGCTTTCTTAAAGATCTTCTGATGTTGACCTATAATCATCTAGGAGGATGGATTCAGTAGATGAGGTGAAAATAATTCCATACCTCATATTTAAGACGACTCTTGCTTTGAACCCAAATGAGCAAGACACACATTCCAAGCATACTAGTACATGTCCCCAGCCATTTGAAGCGTGGATTTAACTCTACTCTTAATACACATCAATTTGTCAACACAATTTGAATCATATAATTTCTTAATATTTGACAATCTTCTTTTCTTTTCTTCCAGGCTAAAGATTATCAAGTTGCTGACTTGATGCGGCAACCCCATTAGTGTGCTTGATTGAAACCAGTTCCTTTAAGGTTTGTCACCGCTTTTCAAGGTGAAAACGATGAAAATAAATCAGAATTTGTTGTTTTGATTGTGATATTCATCATATGTCCACTTTATTTGGTGGTGCTTTTTATTGATGATACTCTGTTTATCTCTCTGGGACCATATTTATTCTATATTTCTCTTTCTTTCTGTATGCTTTCTTTGCTGTAAATGCTGAACCAAACTGTGGTTGGGGAAGGTTAAAACAATTGGATTTCAAGTTTAAGGCCAACCTATACTGAAACTCAAACTTCTATTTTCATTCTACTCATTCAATGCAGTTTGTTTCTGTATCTGTTCCTGTACATATATGAAATTAATAAATATCTTATTTGAATGTCGGTTTTCTTTTGTTTTTCCCCAAGTGATTGATCTAGTCAGGAGTCAAGTTTGAGTATCCTGTTACTCTTAACTCAATTCATTTACTGGTTCAATCACATTCCCCTCACCCCAAGCAACAATTACCTTATTCCAAAAAAGAACTCATTTATTTTTTCTCAAAGAGGATTTTTTTTAAGGATATATAAGATATTAAGATGTTATGACAATTAATTCAATTTATTATTATTATTTTTAATGTTAGGGGTGGAAATCGAATCCCACATTTGTCAAATTTAGTACGAGAAATCCTTTGCAAAAATATTTAGTTACTATGGTAAAAAATATTTAGTTACTAGGTCAGGAGAACATTTTTAACTCAATTTATTAAACATATTAAAATTTTTAGAAAGGTTTCATAATCAAATTTGAGTGTAAACTTTTTTTTTTTTGGTACATCAGAAGGTAAACTTATTTATCTTAATGTGTAAAGTTTTAGCCTTTTATTTATTTATTTATTTATTTTTATTTTTTTGGTATTAATTTTTTAGCATCCAGTAATCACATTGAATCTCGACTAATTCAGAATCGAACTACGTCAAATCTAATTAGAGAGAAATTCTTCTAACGCCTATTTTTTCATTCACAATATTTAAATATTAGATTTTATTTAAGTGAAATTGAGTTATTTCTATTCGAATCAACAGATCATGGATAAGTTTTAAACTTTTTAAACAAGCCTAAGACGAGCTTTAATTAAGCAGGCAGAGCTTGAGCTGGATTCATTGATTAAATTAATACACAAGTCAAGCTTAAGTTTGAGAACGGTAATGCCAGGCTAATTTATGGACCTGCATGTGAAATGTACTTCTTTAAAATTTTTTGATTTAATATTATTTTGTTAAAAAAATATTTTTCAAATCGACTTAAAAAAAAAAAAAAAGTTGTTGGAATACTTGTAAAGAGTACACTATGAAAATTATAATAAATCGTAGTCATTTCATTTACAAAAAGTTAAAATATTTTGATAATTAAAATATTAAAAATGATAATTAAAAATTTATATACTCTTAATAGATTAACATATAAAACAAATTCATAAGAAAGGCAAAAAGAAATACCTACACAAATATTGCATAGCGTGGTAATGTTCTCACAATTTATTAATTAATGATTTAGAAATTAAAACTTACTACTTGAGGATTTGGGAGGAAATTTTATTCATTTATAATTTTTTTAAATAATTAATTATAATATTTAAAATTCTTTATTTGTAAATTAATTTTAATATGTTAAATAATTGATATTAATTAATTGAGTAATTATT